ACCTAGACCTGCTTTAGAATCAAAAATGACACGGAAATCTCACTTTCTGCAATATGGGACCTTTAAAACTTCTGTGGTCTGTATTTTCCATGGTGTAAAGATATTTTGGGCTATGTGGTAGAAGTTTTCTAGCGCTCACATTTTGCACCATGACATAATGAGCTTAACTATATATAAAGTCAATTACTGTATCAGACTGGCCTTTCATAAATATGTCTAGTGTACTTGCAAACATGTTGCTAGTAAACAGCTAAAGTATTATTACTGGGTAAAGTCAGTAAGTGATGGCAGCTTGTCAAACTAGATCTGACTCAAGGATTCAAGGTTATTTAATTGTTATTTACAACACAGGGTTGTATAATGAAATTCAGTTTAGCTGGTAGCTAAGCATTGCTAGCTGTTGCTTCAATATTTTAAGCTTGCTTCTTTCCTCAGGCTTGCGAGACTCCTTAATTCATCCTCAGCCCTCCAACATGTAAAACAGTGTTTTTTTTTAAATGAATTTTTATTTATTCATACTGTATATATGGTTTTTTTTATTTGTTTTTGTTAGTATCATAAATGATGTAAAACTTAAAACTTATTTAGAAATATAAATAAACCTTATTTGTAGTAACCTATTACAATGGTACGTTATGGTAAAAGTTTGGAATGTGTAAAAATGCAGGATGGTACATTCTGTCACTTATACTCCCTGAAGCTACGGGCCACCCTGGATATTGTGGAAGGGAGGGAGCGCGAGGGAGGTCGGAGAGAAAAGTTAGGGTGGAGTTGGGTCTGTGGCCTATGAGGAGAGAGTTTATAGTTCCTACTTGCCACTAAGTGCTGCTAAAAAATCCACATGGCTGAATTTACACTTGCAATAGTCTATAGTGATTCTTAATTTTGTTGAATATTCTTATTTAAAAAAAAGTGTATGCAAGGGACACAATTGATGAACAAAATGTATTGTTTTGTAGAAATCCAAAGTTATTTTGTCTTTTGTACACACTATTATGAAATTGTTGTGTACCCTTGTGATGTATGGATTGGTGATATAAGCCCATATGTGCCCTGGTCTACATGACAGGTGACTAGAAATCTTTTATTATACTATCTTTTACTGCTATCTACCTCAAACCAGAGCAGCACAGTCCCACTTGCAGTTCATCATTTACCCTTCGCTCTGGAATGTGAGTTAGTTACACTTTAAAAAAATGTCAAGGTCAATGAAACCGCTTTGGGTAACATAATTCAAGTGTATGTGAATCCAAAAAGGTCACTTGCCTGTATAAGGAACAAAAACAGAATCGACTCTGCTGTCTCATGAAGATTTAATGTTTGCTTCATCACGAGCAAAGCTGTGTGCTTTTTACTTGCTGAACTCTGCTTTGGAATATCTCTCAGCAGCAGTTGTTTTAGGCCGGTTTCATCCGCACTGCTGTATTTTTAGCGGGGCGCAGGCGGTAATCATCTTACTCCTGTGGGTGTACGGCTTGCGACTTTCTGGTCACCAAGTTCTTTTGGTGAGTTTCCACGGAAACCAGACGAATGAGTCACTCAACAAGTTCAGCCAATTCAGCTCCACAGTTTGGGGGACGAGCCTTGGATTTCCAGCTCTCTCCCCCTACGCAACGGGACTGGAAAATGAAAGCGGTGGCTGGGTGGTGGCACACTGCCTAGTTCTGTTCTTACTTAATCTACCCTCTGCGCCTCCTCCTTCTCTGCCTCCTCCACGTCTCTGCTCTCCCACACTCCAGTTTTCCCTTCTTTCATCTCTCACTCATTTTTAATTTCTCCATTTCTGCCTCACATTCCCACCATTGCCTTATTTCTCCCACCTCTCCGCTGCCCTCGACCTCCACAGCTCTGAGCACATTGGCAGCTCGAATCAGTGGCGGCACTTACAGTAACTGTTTAAAAAAAATAGATTTCCTGTTCCCAGAAGAAGTCATTTAAGGTGACATTAGGTTGTTTACTAATCTGTCATGTCTATGAAGTTGTGAGAGGCCAAAGATCTCAGTTTGGTGAGTCAGGCTGTCATTGAGCTGAGTATTTACTCACCACTGTTTGGATTCTGATTGCAGCTTTTGATTATGGATGCTTCCTGTGGGCAGTCTGTTATATATATCTCACATTAGAGCGTTTATTCCACCAATTAGTGAATCTACTGCAGCTTTAATCAATTATCCGATTGTTTTACCACTGATGTATTTCCTCTCTTCTGTCACTGCTTTCATTTCTCTGGTTACTTTCTCTTTGCTTTCCCATTACTTACTTTATTCGTCCCCCATGTCTCTCAAACACACAAACAGACACACACCACACCCTTCTCCCGCCGCCACTGGTCCCTCACTTCTCCCCCTCACTTTGCTCCCACTGGGAGGAGGCCCAGCGGGGTTGGGAGCACTGGATGACTGACTGACTCCCGCCCGACACACCCAACAGATGTGAGGCAGAGAAGGAAACATCCAGAATGTGTGTTTTACGTGCATGTGACGGAGAGAGTGAGAAATGATTCATTGTTTAGGCATGTTAACTGTTTTTATGCAAAAGGGAGAGAGAGATGAAACAGCGGACGGTGGTGCTTCAGGCCTCTGACCTGTCTGATTCATGCACGGTGTGGAGTGAGTTCTGAATAAACTCCTACGTTCCAGCTAAAGCTCTCATGATAGCCGCTAATAATTCTTTACAGGCCTGTCCTACTAGCATTAAATTAAAGGTTCTGTCAAATGAAAAGTGAGGCAGTTAGTGAATTTCTGCACTCCGGGTGATGCAATGTGCTTGCAATATGTGGAGTTCATCGTTAACATGTAAATTGTATTCACATTTCTTTGGCATTGCAACATTAATCTGAGACTTGGCTGCAGTCACATGGGTGGCACATTAAGAGTCACACGTCACCACCCTTACAGATTGTTAGTTTACAGTCTTTTTTCAGTTGGAAAATTGGGATCAGTTTGATCTGTTTTTAGAAATTGTATCTTCTAATAATAAAGTTTAATAATCCACTGTCCCATTCAAGATTCTTGAAACCTTGGTGCTATCTATCAAAGCAGCCTGTTTTTCCACCAGTTTTGAGCATACCCATATTAACCGAATGTACATCAATGCACAGCAACGTATGGGATAAGACAAGCCTACTTTGGTTCCCAAGAAAAACCTGCTATCTTTTAGTTGGTGGGAACCATCTCTTTATGTTCCGAGCCGATTTAGTTTTGGTTGAACGCTTCAAGACAGGTGCTTGAACCGGAACGGAGCCGGTTCACTGTTTGTGCAAAAGGCCCGTCTCTGATGTGAACTGGCATTTAGAACCAATGTTGTGTGAACCAATGTGTCTGATAATGGATTTAAAAGTTATGGGTTAAGTTTAAGAGTTAATTTCCCTCTCTACTCTGTTGGTTACTAAGCAAAGCGAATTCGCAGAGGGCCTCCTCCTCTCAAAGTGCAGAGAGAAAGGTATTGTCCAGCCAGCTCTCTGTGGGGCCTGAGGAATTACAGGCATGCAGCAGAGACATTTGCTTGTGTCTGTTTTTTTCCTCCAATAGACTATATCCCTCCATCTATCTCCTAAGTCTGTCAGTCTTGCCATCCCTCCTTTTTTACTGTCTCTGGAATTGCCTGTATCTGGCTGTCTGCCCAGCTCCTGTCAGCGAGACAAAATGCAAAAAGTCTGGCTGCAGGGGATGGCAGCACCCATCCAGACAGCTCTACATCTTAACAATAGATTGGGATGAGGAGCCCCTCACAGCAGACACACTGTCACACACACTTTACACAATAACAGCTGTAGGGCATACAACATTGCACTGGAAACTGGCACGAATTAGGAAACTTTTTGTCAGATACGGTTGGGAAACCAGTCATAATTAGAATTTGGCACAATGATTTCTGGTCCTTTCTGTGGAATAGTGCAATTGAATATTTCCAAAAAACGTGACATTGTGGTGATGAATAGTGGATTGATTTGGAAAGGTCCAAGTTCAAGCTGTATAATGATCTACAAATGTCCAAAAATGTCCAAGCCATTTGCCAAAATCTGTCACTGCCCACATCTCTATTAACAACATATGAAAGGCCATTAACATAAAGTTGTGCAATAATTCAACTGAGCCCAAAAAAAGGGTCCGTTTGTGTCAAAGAGCACACAGGAATTGACTAATGTGAACGTAAATAAACAGCAAGCTCAGAGTACTGCTTGGACATGGCCTGGGAATAGGGGCCTTCTGCCTATAATGGGACAAGGCTGAAGAACTGCAGGTCAGGATGTGAATTTCTCAGAAGCTGAAAGAATTTCCCGCACTCACAGCAGACTTGGGGGTGTGGGAGGAAGATGGAGGCCAGACAGCCATCAGAGTCTATGTGCATGTGTTGCGTAATCTATGTTACTGCTTTTTTTTATTTCTGTGTTTTATTAACAGATTATAAACGTTTTGGTCTGCCAGAATCACATATTATATTACCGTCTTATAATTGCTGATGTGTCGTGTGTTAATCACTTTAATGTTGCAGCTGCCAAAGGTGAAGCTAATTGCAGTTTATTTAGTGCCCTGCTGAAGTCTTGACATCACTGTGAGGTAGTCAGGCAACCAGCACTCCAATAGTCTCTTGGCAAAGAAATAGTGCGGCACATAATTACTGGACTGAATACAACTTGATGGTTTTATGCTTCGGCTTTTGTATGACTACACAAATGAAGTGGAACATATTCAGTAGAAGGCTTTGGAGGTGCTGCTAGGCATATTTAGTTTTGCACAGGGTCAGGCTAGCTGTGTCTCCCTGTTTCCAGTTTTTATGCTAAGCTAAGCTAACTTCTGGCTGTGGATTCATATTCAACATACAGACATGAAAGTGGTATCAATCTTCTCGTCAAATTCCCAAAATGTCGAGCTATTCCATTAAAGGAAATATGAACATGAAATAAGGTATATCTTCATATGTCTGCATAATGCATACGTATGATGTAATTCAATCATTATTTTTCTCCTTTACACAAATGTAAACAGTCACAGCCATGATGGTACGCTTTTTGTTCATTTTATTTTTGTTTCAAAGGGTTTTTTCCCCACACTGTTTAGGCAGAAAGCTTTTCACTGGATTTGACGTCCTTGCTCTCTGACACCACTTTGCCATCCACCAGAGTCTGAGTGACTGTCACCACTTGGGTCTTGATGTTCTTAGGATCAACTGCATCGTCGAGTCTGGAAAATGAACAATACAGTAGAATCAATACAAGGTTGTTCTTTGTCATGAGTAAAATTACATTTAGTCCTAGTTTATACACTGGGATAAGATCTTTAGTGTTACTGTTTTGTAAACATATATTTTCTGTCTTTAAGTACATTCAGCAGTTGAGATGTCAGTGGTGAATTTACTTTTACTTTCCATATAAATTCGTTTTTGCATGAAGCTAATTTGAATCAAATTTGCAAATTCCCTGAGGTGAACAAAGCTTTGATATGGGTCAGCTGACAATACGGAGCAAAATATAAATTTCAACAAAGCCTCCTCTCCTCATACTCACTTGAAGTCTGCCTCGCCGTCCAGCAGCCTCCTGTACTCTGCGATCTCAACCTCCAGTTTGACCTTGATGTTGAGCAGGTGCTCATACTCTCTTGCGTTGTGCTGAATGTCGGTGCGGATCTGGGTGAGCTCCTCCTGCAGCCTCACGATTATCACGTTGTACTTCTCCACCTCCATGTTGTAGCGCATATCAATGTCACGCAGGGTGGCCTCAAGGGACGCTTTCTGTCAGGGGGTGAAGAATCCCACTTGATTTCGCAGTTGATTGATGCAGTAGAGAAACAGAAGAAGTCTAGCACATAGCATATTTAAGTACAGCTGGCAGAGGTTCTGACTGAGGCTTGCTCAACTGTTATTGGAGCACATAGTGTAAAGGGATGGGACTTAGGAAGGGTCAATTACCAGCTGTGGTATTGAGAGTTCAAGTCGCACTAGTTATGTAAATTAGCCCAAATTACTTACCAGACTAAGTGCCGACTGCAGTTCAATGTCCAGAGCCTGATACCTCCTCCTGGTTTCCGTCACCACAGTCGAGGCTTCCTTCAGAGCTGTCGTGCTTTCAGTGACTTGGACCTGCACCTCTGTGATCTGGAGATGAGATAAAATACATATAGTACAAAGGTACTAGGTAAGGTACTTACCAGCTAGTCAACCGGAAATGTGTTTGACGAATATGCATTAACCAATTACCTGAGATTCATGCCATGCTTTGAGTTCCTCTTGGTTCTTCAGAGCTATCTTCTCATACTTAGCCCTCATCTCCTCCATGATCCTGGCCAGGTCCTGTCCTTTAGGAGCATCAATGTCCACATGAACGCCAACCTGGGTGATCTGGGCACGCAATTCAGCAACATCCTGTTGGGGAGGAAATAGTTAGGGAGTGATTTCCTGACCAAGGTTAGTGGGGTTATCCTGTGCAAAGAGGTTAAGGAACAAACAGATTGCCATAATGGTGAGTATTTGCAGTCCTAGGTCTTTCTCTTTGAACTACTATCCCATCAGTAGTAGGGTTAGGTTAAAGGCAGTTGTCCTCATAGTATCATCATCAAGTATTTTCTGACTCACCATCTCATGGTTCTTTCTCAGGCTGATCAACTCTTCCTTCAGAGACTCAATGTCACTCTCCAGGTGCAGGCGAATAACGTTGGTGTCATCCAGAAGCTTCCTCAGTCTGGCTACATCAGCCTCCACCGTCTGACGCATGGACAGCTCATATTCCATCCTAACAAAACATACTGTATATCAGATGTGCTCATGCTGGATGGAGAGTCTCTTTCATTTTGTATGGAAAGCTGAACACTCACTTGACTCTGAAGTCGTCTGAAGCTAGGCGTGCGTTGTCAAGAGCGATGGCAAGATGTGCGTTGCCCTTGATCATTTCAAGTATCTGAAAGACATGAAATGTTTTTTGTAGTTTTCAGTGTTTAAGATACAGTTTGTGTAATCTGTAGCACACTCACACGGCCATTTTGACAGCAAACTGTAATTTTGACTTTGATAACTTGTGCAGGTGAAAGAACACGCCTTTGATAACACGCTGTAAGTCATAAAAGAACAAAGCAGGTTATCTTTTTGATACTATCCCTGGAGATAAAGGGTCTACACGTGGTAAATGATGTGAAGTCAGGCATTTAGAGATACATGAACTCTTTGAGTGCAGGAGGTATGATAATAAAAAGTTAAAGCCTGGAATGACTTTTGCCCTAGCTTTATGTGACATGTACACGGTCTTCACCAAAGTGGATAGGGGACTGAGAGCTCTGTCAATAAATGAATGAATGATTGAATGTACTTATGTAAAAAAGCTACACTTTAACAGAATTTTTTTTTTGCACCAGTGTAAAACCGTACTCATTTAGTGGCATTCCTGTTATCAAACCATTTCCTTTACTTGATACACTTCAATGTCTGAGAGGAGACCCAGACTTATCACTCTACCTTTATGCACTTCTTTTTGCAGTTTTGGCATTATGTAGTAAGATATATGCTATAAACAAATCTTTTTGCTCACATTTTTGTTTTCAATTAAGTGACTAGACTAAATAATCATTTAGACTGACTGAGTGATTCATTGACTCACCTTTGCCCTCAGGTCTGTGATGGTGGCGTTGTACTTGCTGTAGTCCCTCCCCTCCAAGGGGCCTTTCTTCTCGATGACCTCTCTGATCTTGATCTCCAGCTTGCCGTTGGCCTTCTCCAGGTTCCTCACTGTCTCCAGGTAGCTAGCCAGGCGGTCGTTCAGGTGCTGCATGGTTGCCTTCTCGTTGGTGATGGCCAGCGTATCAGAGCTTGACACAGAAGACATGCCATACCCACCCCCGAAGCTGCTGCCAATCTGTGTACCAAAGGTGCTGGTTGAGATCCCATGGCCACCTGCCCCTCCGCTGACGCTAAAGGAATAGCCCCTACGCGCCTGTGGAGGTCCGGGAAGGCTTGCCGAATGGATAGGAAGACCTATAGAGGCCTGGCGTTTCATCATGGGCTCCATTGGTAAAAGAAGTTTGCTGAACGATCAGAGGAAGAAGCAGGGCGTCCTGGCACGGAGGGATCTGGCAGCTGAGAGTGGAGGGCTGAGGAGAATCCTGGGGCTTATATATCACCCTGAAAGACAATATTGCTTCCTGCCACTCCTCTCCTATCTATATTACATTTTTACCCTTAGCCTCTGTAGACTTTGTCCCCTAAACACCCATCCTAAACCAGTCTGTCAAAGGCAAAACGGTATGCTGACATTTTCATATTGATAGTGTCTAGTAAATTAGCTGTATCTATGGTTACAATGATATCAACAACAGCTTAAAGGATCATCTCTCTTATAGTCAGCAAATTACATAATAAGACTAGAGCCAACAATGAACTGATCCTATAAACAACAAATCTATTGTTGTCCCAAACTATTAAAAACACATCAATGAACCACGCTGATAAACTGGGTGATTACCTTCATTATACTGAACAGTGCAACCAATATATACATTGTGCTTATGTATTAATTACTCTCCAGAAAACCAATTGTGTAATAATAGTAATAATCTGCATCTGAAAATAATCCCCCCAAAAATGTTTTATTTACTCCTGTTTAAGTAAAACATACTCAAATCTACAGTGCCCAGCTTTTTCAGGGAATTTATTATTCTTTTAAAAATGATAGTGCAATTAAGAGACCGACAGGCTTGGGGCTGAGAACCACAAGTAAGGAAGTATTGAGTGACAGACTGGTTTTACAAAGAACAACAATATAGAATTACATCAGGTGTTAGGGCCAAAAATGCAAGGGGTGACATTGGTAGGGGCATGCGATGAAAAACGATCCAGGAACAGCCTATGAATTTGTTGACACTGTACAGTGATTGTAAACGAGTGCATCTAGAGAAATATCCATGGGCTGGCGAGAGGGTGGCATGGAGACTTTACGAGGTGGCAGGAATATATGCTGATTTTATCTATCACTTAGTATTAAATGTGGCCATAACAGATTACATTCATTTCTGCTTTTTAATGTCTTAAATTTGACACCAAACTAGATCTGCCTCTGATTGTAAAGGTAGCAGTGCAGCTTTAAAAGTAGAGAGGGTGAAGACCGCAAGCTACACTTACAAATGGATTAAGAGTGAAGGATCTAATGCTTATCAAACATGAACTCTGAGGCCTAATTTAGTCAGTGTTGTACTGTAATATTGCTTTTGGAAGTGAAAGCAGTCACTCTTCCTCTACCACTATCTGTGGTTGTTACATCTCCTAGTGTTTGATTTATTGATTGATTGATTCATTCTATTCCTCCTCTATAATGTCATGATAATATAACCTGATATAGTTGACATAAATGATTTTCCAACAAAACACAATTTTCACACCAAGATAAATTTCATGGATGGACTTTATTGAAATGAACAACACAGCGCACCAGGCAGACTTAACTGGACAGAAAGAAAACCAAAGATGATGAAATATAAAAAAAAACAGTTTTGTATTAAATTTTACTATTATAATTTTACTAATTCTTTATAATTAATTATTTTTTTGAACTCACTTTGATATGTTCAATTAGTTTGTCTCTGAAAAAGCTCACAGTTCTCCAATTCTGAACTTTTGTAAACAACTACAGGTCAACGTACAAACACATAAATAAACTGTGATGAAATAAATAAAAGATGATTAAGTTTTCCTCTGATCCAGTTTCTTTTTATCAGCCTGTGGCAGAGCTGTATACCCAGGAAGTCAACCTAATCAGCTGAGACTCTTTTGGTTAGTGCTGTGTGACTAAGAAGAAAGTAGAGCCCATTACAAAAAAAACATAGATTTCGACCAATTGTATGTTAGTGTTATGATGCTGCGACAGTGATTGCTGGAAGTATCAGGCGGTTGCTTCTGGCATTCAAAGGTTCTTGGTCTCTGTGCTGGAGGAAACCACCTTCCCGTCCACCAGGGTCTGTGTGACGGTCATCACTTTGGTCTTCACTGTTTTCTGGTCTTCCAGAGCGTCCTGGAGTCTGAACGGAAAGATCAACAACAAATTAAGTGTCAGGTAGTTTCTTTTGACTTTGGCTTTGCAGGTTGGTTATGTATTAAAATGTGAAATGTGATGTTTCCAATCAAGAATCATGAATATACTCACGTGAAGTCCTCTCCGTCCAGCAGCCGCCTGTATTGAGCGATCTCGGCCTCCAGCTTCATCTTCATGTTGAGCAGGCTCTCGTATTCCTGCGTCTGCATCTGGATGTTGTTACGCAGCTGTGTGAGCTCCGCCTCCAGACCAAGGAGGATGTTGTTGAGAGACTCTATCTCCATGTTGTAACGCATCTCTGTGTCCCTCAGCGTGCCCTCCAGAGAGGCTTTCTGTGGGACGAGTGAGGGGCAAAGAAAAGGGTTAAAATTTCACAGTGAACCTAAGTCGACGATGACAGCTCCATAGCGAGGGGTCACCAGAGTGTAAAGCTTGTGTCAACAAAGTAAAATGTGAGGGACTTGAAGTGAGAGTGCTGAGTTGGCCATTGCAGGGAGTTAAGATAAGCGTGTGTTGGGGTAAATGAAGTGTGTGCTGACTGAGTGCTTCTCACCAGGCTCTTCTGTGACTCCAGCTCGATCTCCAGGGTTTGCAACTGTCTGCGCAGGTCATTCACCTCTGTATGGGCGCCCTTCAGGGCCTCTGTGTTCTGGGTGACCTGGGTCTGCACTTCTGTTATCTGAAATAATCATAATCAAAAGATAAGTAAAATACGTTTATTTTTAACAGTGGCTTTATGCTTGAGAGGGACATCTGGGTTTGCAGATGAAAGTTTTTTGTTAATCGTTTACCTGAGATTCGTGCCATGCTTTGAGTTCTTCCTGGTTCTTCAGTGCCATCTTCTCGTACTTGGACCGTATTTCTGCCATGATCTGAGCCAGGTCCTGTCCTTTAGGAGCATCGACATCCACATGGACTCCTGACTGGGCAATCTGGTTACGAAGCTCCATAACTTCCTAAAGAAATAAGAATGTATAGAGGAATTAATAAACATCAATTCTAACTTTTTTTTCTCATCTGACTGGGAAGTATATGAAAAGAAGGTTTTGTGCAGATTCTAGTGCACATAAAAGGCTTTTTTTTCCTGTGACCCAGCTGTGACTCCTGTCCTCTTCCAACCATAATCACGTTATGGTCAGGTAAATATACAGGGGGTGCATCTAAAGCTGTGAATGGGACCCTAAACCCTTAATTCCTTCAGTAAACAAACGGTTGTGTTTTGGCTTATGCACTTAAATTATAGTCATTTTAATTCTTGGTGTTTTCTCTGTTGCCAAATATGGATGGGAACCATTTTTACGATGAGGCTTCCCACAACATTCACATACAGATATTTGAGATTTCTTAACAAACCTCCCTCTTCCCACTGATGTTTTCTCAATCTTGTTTTCAAGACGCCCTGCAGCATGTCAGGATGTACTGTACATACCCAGCCTAAGCACACACGGTAATGATGTTTGAAGAGATTATCGAGATCAGCCTGTAAGCAAATATTTATTCCGGTCTTCTGAAGGAGTGGATGTTTGCTGAAATGATGTCCAGAGATCTTTTTAAAGGTGGCTTTTGTTTGGAATTCATTAGACTAATCTTGAACATTCACAGACAAAAACAGAAGATTATGTTTAAAGGACAACCTGTTTTCTAATTCAGCTTGTCACGATAGGTGTTGTGGTCCTACAACAACACAGAATGTTCTGCTAATGTTAGAACAGTTTGGGTTATTTCACATTAGAGATTTCTGCATTTCTGTGTGCGTCCTTGCTTTTTTTGTACTGGTTTGAAGTGGGTGGGGCTTATCTGGAAAAATGTGGTGTCACTGTGTGCCATCTTTGGAAACATTTGAATATAAATGTGATGGCAGTCGATGGGGCTGTATGTTAATGTTGCCAGTCAAATCTGATTAAACCACACCCAGGTAGACCTAACCAAGCAGATTAGCCAAGTTTTTGTATTTTTTTTTACTTGAATTTTGGTTGTCACTTATTTGGTCATTAATATTTAATATTCTAAAGAAATACTTAAGATTTTAAACTAAGCTTTCGAGGGCTTTAAAGTTTCAACATGCAAGGAATTTGCCTTGGCACTGTGGTGCGTGACCTGGTCCTTTGAATGTCGTCATACTCACATTTTCATGGTTCTTCTTAAGGTGGATGAGCTCCTCCTTCAGGGCTTCGATCTCGCTTTCCAGGTTCATGCGGCTCATGTTGGTGTCGTCGATGAGCTTCCTCAGACCGACGATGTCAGCCTCTACAGACTGGCGGATGGCCAGCTCAGATTCATATCTAAACAGTACAGCACAGGGCGGGGCAGTGAGGATAACTTCAAAGCTTGGTAGAGAGACTGGTCCAACTTAGTACAAGTTCTGATGAATAGACTTACAAACTGAATAACCCAATGACTCTCTCATGGTATCTTTGCTATAAGTTTAAATATACATGTTCAATATTTGGTCAGCATACAATATTCTACACTCTATCTGCCAGCTGTGTTTGCTGTGATGTTTAATTTATGACCCTACTGAAACCTCTTCACCAGCCATGATGCAAAGGTGATGATTTATGATCTACAAGACAAACAACGGTCTTTTTAGATCATTACACTGTGCATTCATCCTACAACCCATTTAGCCTTAAAACAGGGTGTGCCCGCAGCTGTCTGGCTTAGTGTTTTACAGTCTCAGTGGTACTGCGGGCGGGACTTACTTCACTCTGAAGTCATCGGCCGCCAGGCGAGCGTTGTCGATGTTGAGAACCAGGCGGGCATTGTCAGTGGTGGCATCAAACACCTAGAACAGGTTTACAAAGGAGAGGTTATTTAGATTGCAAACTGAGGACAGGGGCAAGCATAGACAGCCCACAGCTGAGAGAACGTTTATACCAAAGAGCTGACAGATGTCTGTAGTTTAAATATCACTAATGCCACCAAGTTGTTAAAACTTTCGAGGAATAGGGTGAAATTTTGGAAAATGAGTTTGTTTTCTATATAATTATTCTTGATGCTTGCTTCCAGGTCTGAATTCAGGATGAATGAATTCGGAATTCCCCTTGAAATCAATGAAACGAGGTGGTGGAAACATTAC